CTCTCTGTCTTGAGGACTTCATGCTTCTGTTTTTCAAAACCTTTTTCTCTACTAATTTGATTTGAACTTTAAAGAAGAAGATGTGTACTTGGAAGCTTTTTATTTTGTGTTTTGACATTCTTAACATCTGTTTCATTTTCTTGATTGCCAACAATGCTCACCCTCACATTGAAGAGTAAAATGAACACATCAAAAGGGCAAAGCTTGGGTGACTAAATGGAAGAAATTCCCAACAGATAGACACACACACACACACACACACACACACACACACACACACACACACACTATAGCTTCCCCCTGCAGTAATTCTGCTTGTAGTGCAAATATCTCCTCATCCCTCTGAGTTTCTATGAGTTTAGAGTGCATCCTATAGTACCTATCAACATTTGTTGAACAAGAGCAAGCTTAAGTGGCATTACTAGTTAATTGTACCTTCATTTATGTAGTTTTTCTTGACTTAAAAAGAATTCATGCACAATATGAATTTGGATATTTACACCACTAAAAAGTCAAAGGCATAGGAAATCATTTGTGAGGCAAAGACAGCTAGAATAATAACGTGAATTTCTATCTAGTTTTCAATCACCAAGGGCTATTAACAGTGGATTTAATTGTAAGATCTCTGCCTTTTGACACTAAGAGAGACATACGTGGATCTACATAGAAAGGAGAAAAAGCCAAGCTTTACTGAGTAAATTAGGAGCATGGGGTCACGGGAGAGGGTAAAAGAGGAGGGGGAGGAAGTCAGGGGAGCTTTAAAAAATGTGTAGCTCAATAAAAACAATTAGAAAAGATCTCCACCTCTCTTAAAGTCAACAGGTACTGGCAGGCACTGTATATGGAGTTCATAATCACATGTATTACAGAAGGAGACCTGGCAAAGCAAATGTAAGGCTTTTCTATTAGCAGACTTCCTTAATGCGGAAGCTCTCACTTAAACATTAGCAAGTAAACATAAGGTTTTATGTATTTCAGACTATCTTTATCTAGGACAAGAACATGGATTTGACACATATAGCCCTCCCTTCCTGGTACCTTCCTATGATTTATGAACTTCATTAGGGCAGTGAGCATTCTTTTGCAGTTCACAGTCATTCATATTTATTTGAAGCACCCAAATGTTTTGAAGGGAAATTGAATTGGTATTACAATACCCATATGTCTACTTGTGACACATTTTTTGAGTGTGGTGGTAGCTGTGTTGAGCACAGCATATTTTTGATTTGAGGGTTATAGCATGTTGTCACCATGTCTACATTCCAAACTGCCCCCACCTAGGTCCATCATCACCAACAAAGATTACGAGAATCATAGATGCTAGCTTCAATGGAGTTTTCACATTAGTCCCATGTTTCCAAGTAAATCTCTTGTTTTTAGTGCAAAATCCGAAACCCTCCAACTTCAAAATGAATTCCTGCTGCGAAGAGAAGGTATCTGAGATGTGAATGATACAGCTCTCAGAGAAAATAGCAGTACAACCTTTGATATGCCTATTTTCACCCAGCCTGAGAATGAGAACAAGACTGTTCTGCCGGAAGTTATGTAACCTCCTTCTTGTAAATCACTGATCCTCAGTTAGCCAGCTATCAGTCTGGAGCTCCCAACTCCAGCCTTGTGGCACCAGGCCCACCTCTTTCTAAAGCATCTGGAGTCCTCTTAGTTTTTTTCTAAGTTAACTGAAAAACATGTACTTATGCCTGGGAAGTAGACAGCAGTTTTTAAGAGACCATGCTACAGATTTCTCTGATGCTAGATTCCTTTGTTGTTTTTGCAGCTAAGCTGTACATGAGGTTGGTAAACTTCACAGATGCTGTGGGGTTGATACTGCTCAACTCCCCGTTGTAGACAAGTAAATGCTCATCCATGCTTAGTTACTTCATCTTGTGCACACACTGTGTCTATGTCAGAGAAGCAACCTAGAAGGGCTGAAGACATAAGCGCACATGTGGAACCCAAAATACTTGAGTTGAACGTGTTATAAAGGTCTATGCTATTTTCTTTTTTTAAAACTTCATTGTCTTTACTGAATTATCACGCTGTAGGCCATAAATATTTACAAATATCATTTCAACTAATCTGATTTTTTTCCATTCAAAAATTTACACTTCCTCCCCTCCTACCATTCTCCTCCTGCTACCCTACTCCCCCTTCTCCCTCCCCCTCCCTCCTTTAGAGAGGGCAGGGAACCCTGCGCTGTGAGAAGTCCAAGGCCCTCCCCCCTACATACAGGCCTAGGAAGCTTTGCATCCAAATAGACTAGGGTCCCAAAAAGCCAGTATACTGTGATAATTAAACAAAATTTAAAATGTGTAAGAATTTGAGCAATGATGACTTGTTATTAACTATTAACTATTATTAACTTGTGGATATATGTTTTTCATATCTGTGGTGTCTAAGTGACAGTGTGTTTTTTCTATTGATTAGCTTGTCTTAAATTTACTGGCAAGTATTACTGAAGTTGCTTGGCAAAAACTTCTCTGAATCTTTAAAAGAATGCTTGATTTTAAGAGGCAATTCATGACTAGTCAACCCTAGTTTCTAAAGAAGTGCCACTCTGCCCAGACATGTAACTGAAGTTGTAGTGAGCAAAGACAGTGGGAACTCCACAAAGCAAACAACAAAAGCAGTCAAAGAGTTAACTAAATGGTGAATCATTGTTTATTAAATGATGGACAAACGGAATGGATTTCTTTATTTGATCTGGTTAATACTCATTTTATGCAAGGGGGAAGCATGGCCTTAGTTATTTTATCAGTATGGTTATTTTTATCTATTTAAACATGGAAAATCCTGTCACCAAATTCCTTAGCTCATGTTAAATTTTGTATGGTGAAGGTTATTTTTGCTTTTAAGATCTAGGATACTGACTGGGCTGTGGTGGTGCATGCTTTAATCTCAGCACTTGGGAGGCAAAGGCAGGCAGATCTTTGTGAGTTCAAGGCCAGCCTGGTCTATAAGAGCTGGTTCCAGGACAGGCTCCAAAGCTACAGAGAAACCCTCTCTCGAAAAACAAAACAATAACAACAACAAAAGAGAGATCTAGGATGCTTTAATGGTGCACACTTTCATCTCTGTTTTGGGAAGTCGTCATTGGTGATGACAACATTCCAGCCCTGTGCCAAAGCGCTGAGAGGCAAAGTATATGGAGAAAGCTTACTGTTATCTCTTCTAGTTGAGAACCAATAGGTTCCAGAGATAGTTGACCATCACATTCATTGCCTTTGAACTTCCCCTTCCCAAGTTCTTATCAGCAGCATGGGCAGAGGACTGCTGTGTCCATTTCTTACATGATCCTAACTAAACTAGAGCTATTATCTTTAATTTTGTTCTCTTATGAACTAGGAAAGAGAAGGCATGTATGACTGTCATGGGTTAGGTTAACTCCTGTGCCTTACCTTACCAGATAAATGATTTTTAAAAATCCTTCAGACAAAATTCTGCAAAATGAACTCTCAAAAACTGTAATTTGTGATACCTTTGCTCCACTACTGTCCGATATGTATTGATATTAAATGTGCCAACAGCGTAACAATTAGGCACAAGATATGGTCAGACAAGGTACAAACCACAGATTTACTAACAGCTCAAAAGTCTGTACAGAATGTTAGTTGTCCACGCTCATTGTAACCAAAGTGACATGTATGATGCAGCGGACTAGCATGTTGTGCTCAGGAAGATTACTAAATGAGATCAACCAGTAAAAAGAAGCACTCTAGAATGACAGGGAATCACCATCATCCTTGGGGAAGCAATTTAGCAATGATGAAACTCGAAAAATCCATAACATATTATTCAATAATTTTGATTCTAGATGTAATTTCTGAAAAATAGCCTTCAATACACATTATTCATTTTCCTACCATTTAAAATAAGATTTAAAAAACCTGAATACAACAGAAGTGTCTAACAATAAATTAATAAATGAAAGATTACACAAATCCTAATTAGTGCAATGGCTCTGATTCTGTGCATCTATTTAACGTAGTGAGGCAATGTTCTGATGACGAAGGAAATGGTTATGATACAAGCTGGCAGTAAAGCTGGATGTATGATTCAATGCGTGTTATTATTCCAGTTATAAAAGGCAAACTGTGTGGAATGCACAAGAGTAAAACTTTGAAGAGAATTCAACTTAATATTTGTTCATTTTAAAGTAATTAAATGTTGGCTTGTAAGATAATTTTTTCCCCAGGCAGTGATGGCACACACTTTAATTCCAGCACCCAGGAAGCTGAGGCAGGTGGATCTCTGTGATTTTGAGGGCAGCCTGGTCCTCTATAGAGTGAGTTCTAGGACAGCTGGGTCTACACAGAGAACCCCTGTCTTGAAAACCAAGGGAGGAATAAAGATAATTTTTCTATTTAACAGTGTTCTTTCTTTGCACCAAATGCATTTTTTTGTTGTCTAAGCGTTTGCTAGAGAAATGAAGAGAAGAACAAGAATGCAGGAGGAATGGATGACTGACAAATTCGTAGTAGGAAACTGATCTGAGCTCCCAGTACAATCTATGTCACCATGGAATTTCCACTGGCCTTTTCAAAGGTCTTCATCTCCTGGACTATCGAAAATCCTACTGATCCCTCAGGGGTAACTATGTCTAATTGCTAGGCAGTTACAATCAATTATTTCTATCCTATTTACTATCTAACCCGACTAGAGGTAAATATGCAAGATCCACAAAAGATTCTGTAGAAATAATAAACCTTCAAATGGCACATTTGCTAGTGAACATTCATCAGTAACTGTGATGGCTTTAGGTTTTACGAAACACTGCCTAATTTTTTTCTTCCAAAAGCAAATAATCAATATACTCATTAATGCAATCCAAGCTACTTTCCAGTCATACTAAACATCATTGTATCGTTTTTTTAAAAAATGCCATGTTAGCCAGTTTACTTTCTCATAAGTAAATATCTCTTTGTTAAGACTTAGAAATTGCTAAATGAACTGTTAGTCACAGGAATGAAAACAAGAAAAGACTTGAGAATGCGACTCACCTGACATGCTTCTCTTTTCAGAAGAGCCCACATGCAGCCATGAAACAGGTGGATAGCCTAAAAATTCTCCCACCAGCCTTTTTTCTAAGCGCCGTTGCTCTCTTGTGATAGAAACAGCATAGCACCGACATATATCTTTATCAGTACTTGGGTCTTTTTTTTCTCCTCTGTTTCTTCAACTCTTTTGTGTGTACTTTGTTCAGTTATAAACAGGAAATGTGGTGATAGAGGCTTCTAGAGTTTAGGTCTGAAACGAGTAGACTTAAATAGTTGTGAAACGTGGGAAGAAAAACCCCATGTGCTTTTGTATGTCAAAAGGTGAGTTTTTATCACCACCTGATTTAAAAATAAAGTCTGATTTAAAAATAAAGAATTAAAGCATGGTATGAATAAATCAAGGTGAAATCCAACATATTCTTTGAGAAAATCCAGGGCTCTGCTCACCTCTGAGTTCACATGAAAATAAAATGAAATCTACTAAACTGGTGGACCAATAAATAGTAAGCGAGCCCTGGTGTGTATTCATCTGCTCACTCTATCCTTTGAGACCTAATGGATAGAGGAGAATTAAGAAATTCTGAGTGTTTAGTGAGTATTAAATGTCTGGCAGCTAAGCAGCATCCTGCCAGGGGACCAGGTGCCTGCCTTAGTCCCACCAGCCGTCACTGTAGCCAGCATAAGTTGCTCTATGTAAGCCAGAGTCACCAGCATGCTTTACGGTCATTCAGCATCAGGATCAGGATTTCTTAAACATCTGCCTGTAAGTGTGCTCTGCAGCAGTACCTCAAGGCACTGGTGGACAACCTCACAATTGCAGTTGTGGTGGATAACCACGGAATCGCGATTTTTGGCCTGGTGCAGCAGCTCTGGTTATTTTGTCATTTTTTTTTATATGAGATTGCTAGCATAGACAAAAGGAAAGATTTATTTTAAAAGACTTTATTAATGTATTTTTATTATCTAGCATGGTTTCTTCATTTTTAAAAAAGCAATGTAATTGACATATTATATGCACATATTTATGGGATATGGTATAATTCAGCACATGTATATAATGCATAATGATAAAAATCCAGGGAATTAGCTTTCATATTTCCTAATATTTATCCTTTCTGTGTGTTGGAATGTGGACTTGTTGAGATATTTTTAAATACACCATAAATTTTTGGAGAGTTTAACCATGCTGCTATGATATAGAACACAAATTAATTTCTCCTCACTAAATGTGTCTTGCTCCTCATTATCTAGCCGTACACTGTCTCCTCCCCTTCCCTTTTCTGGCCACCAGTGACCACCAACCTCTATTTCTGTGAACTCTATTTTTATCTTCTATGAAAGAGAGAAAGAGAGAGTAAATATGTGTGTCTTTCTGTGACTGAGTTATTTAAATTAGTGTGATTAATTTAATTTAAATTACCTTCCAATGCAATCTGTGTTGCCATAAAAGACAATGTTTTACTCCCTTTTTCAAAAGTAAAACTGTTGTCCACATACAACATGTCCAATTTCTTTTAGTTGCTGAGATAACACTCAGTTTAATAAATGCCACATTTCCATACGCTCTCAGGTGTGTATGGACTTATTTGCAGATTCCACAGCCTTGGTAATTTGGATACAGGTGATGTTTTGAGAAATTCATACATATAAGATAGAATTAGCCTAATTAACCATTACAGCTTCAGAACCTAGAATTATACTTGGCCTATTAGATTTCAATAAATATCACTCTGATTGAAAGCGTAACACAATGGGAGGTATCCTCTGAACTAACATCTTTGTTCTTCTATAGACTGTAACACCATAGGAACCAAAGTGCAATGCTTGCAACTCTTGTTTCTGTGGATGGAGTTAGCTAAACACTAAGGAACATTTTTGCTCACTTTATTCCTTTCCATCAGAATACTTATTGTAAGTAATTGATCCAGTCTATAAGACTGAAAAAACACTAAAAGAATCTCTAATATAATCCTTAAAAGGACTTTAAAAGTACGTTCCAGGGCCGACAAGATGGTTTAGTGGGTAGAAGTGCTGGTCCCATAAGCATGCCCATCTGAATTGCCCAGCTAGAATTCACAATGGAAAAAGTTATACCCAATATTTGTCTCCTGAACCACACACACCACAGTGCACCCATAAACACACATAGTAAAAATAACAAATCACTTTAAGAGCAAATAATCCAATAAAAATGGGGTACAGGCCTAAACAGAGAACTCTCAACAGAAGTCTCAAATGACTGAAGGATATTTACAGAAATGCTCAACATCCTTAGTCATCAGAGAAATGCAAATTGAAACAACTCTGAGATTTCATCTTATACCTGTCAGAATGACCAAGATCAAAAACACTGATGGTAACTTATACTGGAGAGGATGCGGGGTGAAGGTAACACTCCTGCATTGCTGGTGGGAGTGCAAACTAGTACAGCTGCTGTGGAAATCAGTATGGTGATTTCTCAGAAAATTAGAAAACTACTTATTTCGAGACCCAACAATATCACTTTTGGGTATATACCAAAATAATAGTTCAATCATACTACAAGGACATGTGCTCAACTAGGTTTATAGTAGCATTATTTGTAATAACCAGAACCTGGAAGCAACCTAGATGCTCTTCAACTGAAGAATGGATAAGGAAAATGTGTTACATTTACACAATTGAGTACTACACAGCGGCAAAAAAATAACGACATCTTGGAATTTGCAGGCAAGTAGATGGATCTAGAAAAAACAATATTAAGTGAGGTAACCCAGTGGTGTGAGAGTATTGTCTGTATTCTGTCAATCATGTTTTAAATAAATGCTGATTGGCCAGGCAGAAAGTATAGGTGGGTCAACCAGACAGGAAGTAGAGGCGGGGCGATGAGAACAGGAGTATTCTGGGAAGTAGGAAGTTCCCTCCACAGTTCTGCCCAGACCACCAAAGAAGCAAGATGTGCTCACTTATAAGTGGCTTTTTGACATAAAATAATCAGGAAAAAAAAACCTATAGTCCACAGCCCCAGAGAACCTAGACAACAAAGAGGACCTTAAGAGAGACATATATGGAACTGCGTAGGAAAGAGAAAAAGACAAGATCTCGTGAGTAAATTGGTAGTGTGGGGGTGACAGGAGATGGAAAAGGAAAGAGGGGAAGAAGGGAGGGGAGCAGGCAAAAGGGTATAGTTCAATAAAACATTAAAATTATTTATTTAATTAATTAAATAAATAAAAAAGCTCTTAGGAAACAATATTCCTAAACAAATGCTTAGAAAAATATCTTAATTTTGTCTGTATGAATGCATACATTAGTATATTGAATCTGCACGTTCTGCAAAAAGGAAAACTGACTACTCTTTTTTTTTTTTAACAGAGTCTTTCCAAATGAATTTGACCGAAGAACTATTTCTTCATCAGCTACCATCAGGATGGCAGGTTCCGTGGACCAGATCTGGATGTTCACAGACCCAACAATTCAGGAAAATAGTAGTATTTAGTTGATGTAGAGTTCAGAAAGCAGTGAAGAATCAGAAGATTTCATTCAGAGGGAACATTGGGATGTAGGTGAGGCAACTAAAAGGTTGAATCCCAAACATCTACACAGGGATGGAATCTTGCAACATTAATTCAAAAAGAGGATACCATTGTGGAGTGGCCCTGAGGAGTTGGTGTTTGAAGAAGATAACTGACAAGGAGGGTTTAAGTCATGGATCCAAGTAGGAACCCCACAGGTTAAGCAAACTAGCATTTGTAACGTGCTTCATGGAGCTGATACTGGGAAAAGGTCTCAGAACCAAGAACTTGGGTGTAAACACATCCTTAGCAGAACACATACAACAGCAAACAGAGAAAAAAGGAAAATGTTCCCATCCTGGGTCATCCATGAATTTCAATTCCAGAAACAACAACAATATTCAGGAGCAGACTTTCAGGACACAGGTCAACAGCAAGAATAACTTGGGCAAAACTGCAAGAATTGTATTGCTGGCCCAAGAAACACAAACAACTAGAAGGCAATGCAACCAAACCCACCTGCAGCTGTGACTGCCCCAAGGCTTTCCAGGCTCAAGCTTGTGACTGTACATATGCAAGCCTAAACGGAACTGACAATCAGGCACACAGGACACAGACAGATGTACTTCAGCTCAGGAAGAGAATCACTTAATGGCCCAAAAGAGTAAATATATATCCCAGATGCACAACTGAGACCTCAGAAACAGAAAAAAAGCACTAAAAATTCTGCATCATGATTATAATATCTTTAAAATGTGATCTGTATTATAATGTTTCTTATTCCTTAGGTTTAAGCAATAGGCAAATATATCAAAGTTGTGCAAAACACACGGGGAAAGCCTATGAATGTTCAGCAGACAGCGCCACAAAATTTTTTTTTATTTCCAGGAAAATAGATAGCTTTTCATTAAGAAATGGATGGCTAATGGAAACATTACTGGAATAAGAAAGTCTATGAATATATATATATATATATATATGTGTGTGTTATGAAATATATTAGTGAATAGTCAGATTTGAATAATGACTTCATGAGCTATGCTCAAATAATAAATAAACATGAGGATTCTGCACTACATTATAATGAGATGAGTTATCAAAATGAAATTTAAAAGATAACTAGACTAAGCAGAAATGCCCTCATGCACTCCAAGCATGTTACAAATGTAGGAAGTTTGAGGAGAGGTTTTGATGGGTATCTGTCAAGAAATGAGAATTTTAAGAGCAATAAAATTGAAGTTTTGTTGCCACAAATAAAAAACATACAATGACAGCTGCCACTCAAGTTCCATATGCAGAAAAATAGAAAACTAGGTCATAGTGTAAAGAAACAGCACTACTTTGTCTAGATTATTTTAATGGTCATCTATCGTTTCTATAATTAATTATCTCTTATTAGTATGATATATTTATATCTACTTGGAATATATACACTTATTCACATATCTCTATATTTCTCTGTCTGTCTGTCTATCATTCATCTATTCCGAGAGGCTCTCAACACTTAAAAGCAGGCCTTATGATATATTTATAGCTTCATTTATCTATAATTTGAAGTGTTCCAAATTAAAAAACTCTGTGTAATTTTAAGAGCTCCTATTATAATTCTCTTATTTTAAAAGCTTTGATTTGTGGGACTAGAGCTTATCACTCTGTAGAATTTTGTTTACTACCCTAAATCACGCAGCTACACTGAAGCACGTGCAAAGGAAACTCACAGCTTCAGGATAGGCAG